TAGTGGAGACCCTTGCGTCCCCTCTCGCTTTGTGCGAGTTGAGGGTTGCTCTGTCCCTTTGTCTCAGGGTGACTCTCCTTGTTTTTGCCTCCGTCATGCTGCCTGTTGGGTCGGTGACACATTCGACCCTTGAGTCCTGTGAGCTTTGTTGCTTGTTCGTGACTCCATTCACCCAGTCTGCTGATGAATTCCCGTGGGTGCAGGCAGCTCGCGTGTTGCAGGGTAGGATGTTGCAACGTGCTCTGGTTTGTCGCTTCCCCGGACGCCCCGATGCTGCCCCGCTTGCGTAGGGACCCAGACTTGGGTGGTTTTGGTCGCTTCGGCCTTGGTTCCTTCCACGCCCCCCTTGTTTTCCCCCCCTCCTGCTTCCGACCCCTACGCATCTGCAGGCTTTGGGGTCGGGGCGGGGTTAGAGGTTCTGAGACGTGGGCAGTTTCGGGGGTTGCCCCGTCCGGGGTAGCTGCGGAGGCATTCGAGTCTGTTCCTCCGGCCGATGCTCTTGGGTTTTGACCAGTGGGCCCCCTTCTCTTTCAGCTCTCTCGGCTGCCCCGGCTTTTTCTTGTGAGGCCGGAGCTTTGGAGGTCGACTCGGCTCCGGGGCCTGGTGCAGAGGCTCCTGGGGTTGGGGAGGAGTGGCCTTGGGGCCTTGGGCTCCATTGCGCCCCGCCTGGATTTCCGTCCTTCTGAGCGGGGCTTACTGTTACGAGGAGTGGGGTTTTCTTTCCTCCCTCTGCGTACGATTTGGGCTTAGGCTCTGCTCCTCCCCGGGTTTGGTTCCGTGTCCCTGTGGTTTCTTCGGTTCCGTCTTCAGGAGGTTTTCGGCTAACCGCATCTCTTCGCCTGCGGTGCGGTTGGCCTTTGCGGCTTACCTCCTGCATGTCCCGGAGTTTGCCTCCATCCTGGTTCCTTCTGTTCTGGACAGGTTGGGCTCCTTGTAGCCGTTTGGGCTCCTTGTAGCCGTTTGGGCTCCTTGTAGCAGTTCGGGCTCCTTGTTGCCGTTTGGGCTCCTTTGTAGCCTTTTGGGCTCCTTTGTGGCCGTTTGGGCTCCTTTGTGGCCGTTTGGGCTCCTTGTAGCAGTTCGGGCTCCTTGTTGCCGTTTGGGCTCCTTTGTAGCCGTTTGGGCTCCTTTGTGGCCGTTTGGGCTCCTTTGTGGCCGTTTGGGCTCCTTTGTGGCCGTTTGGGCTCCTTTGTGGCCGTTTGGGCTCCTTGTGGCCGTTTGGGCTCCTTGTGGCCGTTTGGGCTCCTTGTGGCCGTTTGGGCTCCTTGTGGCCGTTTGGGCTCCTTGTAGCCGTTTGGGCTCCTTGTAGCCGTTTGGGCTCCTTGTAGCCGTTTGGGCTCCTTGTAGCCGTTTGGGCTCCTTGTCGCCGTTTGGGCTCCTTGTCACCGTTTGGGCTCCTTGTCGCCGTTTGGGCTCCTTGTCGCCGTTTGGGCTCCTTGTAGCCGTTTGGGCTCCTTGTAGCCGTTTGGGCTCCTTGTAGCCGTTTGGGCTCCTTGTAGCCGTTTGGGCTCCTTGTCGCCGTTTGGGCTCCTTTGTAGCCGTTTGGGCTCCTTTGTGACTGTTTGGGCTCCTTGTAGCCGGTTGGGCTACTTCTCGCCTTGTTGGGCTACTTCTCGCTTTGTTGGGCTACTTCTCGCCTAGTTGGGCTACTTCGCGCCTGGTTGGGCTACTTCGCGCCTGGTTGGGCTACTTTCTTTTGCGTCCTGCGCATGCGCCGTGGGAGTTTGTTTTGGTTCCGTGCGGTGTGCACACGTGTTCTGCTCCAATTCTCTCTGGGGGGGGGGGGGGGCTTCTCCTCTCGCTCTTTTCTTAATCCCATCCGTGCCCCGTTGCTTTGGGGGTGTTCTGGGGTGCCGCTGTGTGGAATTCATGAGGTTTTTCCCTGCGTTCTAGGGTGGGGAGCCTCCCTCGCAGCTCCCCTCCTCTCCAGCATGGGCGCACTGGCCTACGGACTACGGACTCGAACGCTTGCGTCATGGCCCTTCAGAGCCTATGTTCTGCAGGTGAGTTGGTGCGGTTTTGGCGTCTCCTTCGTCCTGACGCTGTTTTTGTTTTTGGGAGTAGGAATGGGTGTACATATGTACTTGAGAACGTGGACTGTATCACCCGAGGTGCCTACTGCAGGGCTATTAGCCCATACTGGGCAGCTCTTGTTCTCTCCACCTGATTCCTTCCTCAGTTCACGGGTGTCTGCAGGTGGCCTCTTGTCCCTTCCGAGGCGGTTCCTGCCTGTACTCCTCCTGCCCCTCTCCTATGCTTGTCTAACCTTGCTTGAGTTCAGGGCCCCGCCTCCACCTTGTTCCGCAGTGCAACGGTGGGGGTGCCTGTTTGGTAGTAAGTTTTCCTGTGTCGGAGGTTTTGTGTTCGCCTCCTTATGTTTGCAGGTTGGGTTCTGGCTCTTTGTTTCCGCCTCTCCCCTGTCGTTTGCCTGTCGGGCGGATTCTGTGCTTCTTGGGCACTCTCATCTCTGCTCTTGGGGTTGTGTATGGGGTCAGCCCATGTTGGGCTGCCTAATGTGTTCCTTTGATTGCCTGTTACCCTGCACACGTTTCTTCTACCGTCCCTGTGGCTCAGTTGGGTACTCGGTTTCCGCCTATGTCCCCTTGTGTGCCACTCGTGTACGATTTATCTATCTTCTCTGTCGCTTCCTCGGGGAGTGTGGTGACGTTTTGCTGCGGTTTTGGTACTGCAGCTGCGTGTCGGGGTGGGTTGTGGCGTTATGTTCGGCCCTTCCGTGCTCCCTCTGGGGCTCTCCTTCCTTGCCGGTCTTGCTGTGCCGGGCCTGGTTTTTCCATGTTCCTTGGTTTCACTGTCTTGTCCTCGCCTCATTGTGCTGGCTGGGGATGAGCTTGGGGTCTTCGTCTCGCCCCTCGCCTATCCTCTGGTTTCGATTCAAGTTCCAGAGCCTAGTGGGCTCCCTTCCTTCGTGTTTTTCACGGCTGCCCCGGGGTTTTCTTGACGCTGGGGCTTTGAGGGGACAGCTCAGCCCCGGGGCCTGCAGGGTGGGTTCCCGGGGCTGGGGTGGGGCTCACGTGAGAGGCCTCAGGCCCCGTTAGTCCCCGCCAGGTTGTTTCTAACCCTCTGGGGGGGACTTGCAGTTTTGTGGTGTGGGGTTTTCCATTCCCCCTCTCCGCACGTGCTTTGTGGGCGTCGGCCCCTCCCTGGGCTTGGTTTCCTTGTCCGTTGTACCCGTTCTGTCGGTGGGTGCTTTTCTACGATCTTCGCCCTTTTTTCCGGGACAGGCCTTCTTCTGTCATGTCCCCCTCTTCTTGGGGCTTCTGCATGACTTTTGGTCTCGGGTGCGACGGGGTTTTGGGGCCTTCGTCCTTTGTGTTTGCTTCTTTTTGTTCTCGAAGGTTCGGGACTGTTTTGCTCCTTCCCGTTTTCTGGTGCGTCTGTCGTCATTCGGTTGAGCTTCCCTCCGGTCCTTTCTAGGGCTTGTGGGTCCTCTTCCCAGCAGCTTCTGGGTGTTGGCCTTTTTGTTCTTTTGTGAATATCTCTTCTCTTCACACTGTCTCGGCGCTCCTAGTTTTCCTGGGAGTGATTTTGCTCCTCCTAATGAGTCTTTTCGCTCCTGCCCTTCTGTGGGATGTTGGTGCGGGGCGGCTCCTTATGCGAGTTCCTTCCCTGTCAGCTGCACTTGTGGAGGTGGTCTAGCACACTTGTGGCATTTTCGTTTTGGTCCTGCGTTTTCTTTTCCCTCCTGGGGCTGTCATAGGATTGGCTTGCGGAGGATGTAGAGGCGCTTGGGGTCGTTCCTGGGTCTGGCACCTTGGTTTCTGCTGCTAGCTTTCGGTATCGATATTCCTTCTGTGCCGTTTCGCAGGTTGTATCGTGCGTTGTTACACCTCCGGCCTGCTTCTGCACTGCCTGTGTCGTCCTGGTCTTTGGACAGGGTGCTCTCCTGTTTTTCTTCTCCTTGGTGGTTGTGGCTCCTTGGGGGTCAGGTTTGCTTTGCCTCGGTTTTCTTTTTGTGTTGGCATTCGCCTCTGGGGGCCGTGTGGCAGAGCTTCTTGCTCTTCTCAGGCGCAGTGGTTTTTGGCTCCTATGGTCGTGATCATAGGTTTTCTTTGTCTGCGGCCGTTCTCCCTTTTTTCTGGCGAATGCTATACCTTGGGTTGTTGTCTCGACTTCGTGTTGTGGAGTGATTCTCCGACCGCCTCCCGGGTATGTCCCCTTGTTTTTTAGGTAGTCTTTGGTGAGGTAGCTCCGGGGAGCCGTAGGGGCTCCCCCCAGAAAACCAGCGTTGAATGTAATGAAACGCCATTTTCTGGGTGAGTCCCGGAGGCTCCCCAGCACCCTCCCGCCCTCCGGTCGGCGGGGTTTTTTCGCGGTTTTGATATCCAGCCTCAGAACTGGGGCGGGGATCGCCGGCGCGGGGGTCTGGGCGAGCTGCGCAGACATGCGGCGCGGCTCGCGTGACGTCATGCTTGTTAGTTCGTTTTCCTGGGGGAGTTCTGTCCACTCGTTTGTCGATTTTTGTTGTTTAACCAGAATAGGGGTTTGTTTTGTGGCGCTTACATTTCTGGGTGCCTGTCCCAGTCGATGGCAGATATAGAATGCTCCAAATCACATGTGCATTTCTATGGGCCATTGCTACCCGTGCCTCTCTGAGGGGGCCAGGTTCTGGCTCGTGGTCCCCGGTAGGCCTAGAACTCCACCCACATCGACTGATGCAAAATAGTTAGGGTATCCATATCAGCCATGGATAGCTCCGGGGAGCCTCCGGGACTCGCCCAGAAAATGGCGTTTCATTACATTCAACGCTGGTTTTATTATTTTTCCCGTGATCAGTGAACACAAATTAACAGGTTAGGAAGAAAAAATATAAATTTTTTTTTTCAAAATTACATGCGCCTGTGGGGAAGAAAGGATATTATACCCCTAGCATGTTAAGGGTTAATAGTTAACGAGATGTGCTTTAATAGTATACTTTAATAGTATGATAATGCAAGAATAGGCAAATGTTATCGTAACTTGGATTTATTCTCTCATTACTACAGGATGAAGTATGTCGAACAGAGACTCAAAACTTGACAAAGGAGTACCCACAGTTGTCTCTTAAGGCACAGATGATTCAAGCAGCCCAGCTGGGACGAGAAGGGAAGCTTGCAGAGGCACGCGCCATACTCAGAAAATGTGCTCAGGATAATCCAGATGATGCTCTTTATATCACCCTGGCTGCCACTCAGATACTGTTAGCTAAGGTGGGTGACTGTACTGCTGTCCTTGACTCTTCAGTATAAGTTTGGATTACCCTTGAGGTGATTATGTCCGACTCATTTTGTATCTTACAGCTACTAAATAAGATAAAGATTTATTCAGAAATAGGGTTACATAATCACCACATAATATGTTATGTATCATAAATTTATTAGTTAAAAGTTACTTTCAAAATGGAGTTAACATGTGGATTATTCACTGAATATTATGTTGAAGCCTACTGTGCACAATGCATTTCAGGCAGTGAATAATGTATATATCACTAAGTCAGTTGGCTAGTTACCATTGAGTTTGACCGGTAACTGGATGGGTGACCTTGTGGACAACCTTGCCTTTGGCTTAGGGGGATCCCAAAAGCCCAACACGTTTCCTGTCACTGACAATTGGAAACTAAAGTATGAAAACAAACTTGTCCACAAAAGGCATATTGGCCCTTGTGAGAAAATAGTAATGCCGGGTACTGAACATTTAATCCCAGTTCAACCAGTCCCCATTTAATGGACTCTAGAAAAAACAAAAAAAAAAAGAGATCAAGTTACCTAAATTAAATAGCCAGATTTAATCCTGTTTTGCTAGGAATGCACCAAGTGGTTTTTCCAAAATTATTATAGTGGCACTTATTTTAGAGTGCAGATATTTTGCCATCTTATATTTAACCCAATTAAGTATCCACTCGATTTAACAGCCTATATGGAGCTGTACCCAGGTCATTAAATGCAGGGCTCCGGTATTTCCGAAGTTAAGTGTAGGTAATATTTCAAGTAACATTCAGGTAAAATATATTTTGTACAGACAGCCACTTGGTCCACCACTCTAGTGGTGGACCATCACTCTAGTGCCTTCTACCCTGTGACGTCACAGATTCACGGTACATTGTTTTGATTTGTCACGAAGCTGGAGTGTTCATTCCGTGACTTTGTTGGACATGTCTGCGTAATCAGAGGCAGGCAGGGAGAGAGGTGCAGGGAGGGATGGATAGATAGAGGGAGGGAGGGATGGATGGATGGAAGGATGAAGGGAGGGATAGATGGATGGAAGGATGAAGGGAGGGATAGATGGATGGAGGGAGCCGGTCGGCCGAGTGGACAGCACGCGGGACTTGTGATCCTGTGGTCCTGGGTTCGATCCCAGGCGCCGGCGAGAAACAATGGGCAGAGTTTCTTTCACCCTATGCCCCTGTTACCTAGCAGTAAATAGGTACCTGGGTGTTAGTCAGCTGTCACGGGCTGCTTCCTGGGGGTGGAGGCCTGGTCGAGGACCGGGCCGCGGGGACACTAAAGCCCCGAAATCATCTCAAGATAACCTCAAGATGGATGGATGGACGGAGGAATGGCTTGAGGGAGGGAGGGATGGAGGGAGGGATGGAGGGAGGGATGGATGGTGGGAGGGATGGATGGTGGGAGGGAAGGAGAGAGGGAGGGAGGGAGGGATGGAAGGATGGATGGATGGATGGATGGATGGAAGGAAGGATGGAAGGAAGGATGGGTGGAAGGAAGGAAGGATGGATGGAGGGAGGGATGGATGAAAGGAAGGATGGATAGAGGGAGGGATGGATGGATGTATGGTGGGTTGGATGGAGGGTGGGAGGGATGGATGTATGGAGGGAGGGAGGGATGGATGGATGGAGGGAGGGAGGGAGGGAGGGAGGGATGGATGGATGGATAGGTGTTGAGTTGAACTACGAAACCAGTGAAGCAGAGAGAGAGAAAGTGTGTATGGGATGGGGGTGAGGGATGGGGGAGGAGTGTCGGTGGTGGGGGAGGGACCGGCTCACTCCGATAATCCTATCACTCTCGACCCCGTTAGCCAGATTTGTTTTTTAAATTCTGGATGTACATCATCATATATATTTTTGGTTACAGATTTTGTTTAGTAATTTTATTAGGATACTAAAGTTATAAAAATACTTGTTTCATGAATGCTTTATTGTATTAGATGGAGATTCTGCAGGTTATCTCTGGCTGGCTGGCAATCTACTGAGCCACCTCCCAGAAGGGTCTTGGGGGGGAGGGGGGAGGCAGGAAGTGAGAGTGTGGGGGAGAGCAGCAGTGAGGGTGAGAGAGGGGACGATAGAGGTCGGTGGCCTGCTTGCCATGTGAGGCTCCCCTGATGCTAAAACAAATCCAATATTGACCTACAGTTCTATTGACTGCCAGCCCGGTATATGAGGCTCCAGATACCGGTCTCCCAAACCGGTCGATAGAACCATAGGTCGGTTCATATACCACGTCATATACCGATTCATATACCATATGATATTAGTGACAGATCGGTAAATAAGAGACCGTTAAATCGAGTGGATTCTGTATATTCCATTTGTAGAATGTGCAGCAACTATATACTGTATAGAGTAATATAGTCGCTCCAAGTTCTCAGGTCTATTGCAGGCAATTAGATTTGCCTGTTTATGCCACATAACTTATCCCAAAGAATTCCACATTCCAAGATGTTCTACACTAATCCTATATGCACTAATTACAATTGATACTTCTTTCCAAGGGTTACAGGAATCACTCAGGACTGCCAAAAGGTAACCAGCAAGATGATGGTCAACTTGGCAAGTCAGGAGAAACATGGAGTATAAGCCACCAATGCAATGCATTATAATCTGGAAGAAAATATGAAGGTTGATGCAATTGAAAAACCTTACTTTAGGAGAGGACATATGGCAACGTTAGGCACTTTTTTAGTGGGTATAATTGGACAGACTTGTTGCTAGGCAAGGAAGTGAATGCGATGTATGTCAAGTTTTGTGAAATATATGATAAAGGCACAAAAAAATTTATACCAAAACAGAGAAGCAGAACTAGGAAACAGGATTGCTTCAACAGAAAGTGCGAGAGGGCCAGAGACCAAAAGACACAAAAATGGAATCAGTACAGGAAGAGGCCAAACCCCCAAACATACCAACGATACAAAGATGCGAGAAACAACTACACGGTAGTGAGGTGAGAGGCAGAAAGAAATTTTGAAAAAGAGATTGCAGACAAATGTAAAACAGAACCAGGTCTATTCTATAAATTCATAAACAACAAATTGCAGGTAAAGGATGATATACAGAGGTTGAAAATGGGAAATAGATTCACAGAAAATGAAAAGGAAATGTGTGAAACATTAAACAAAAAGTTCCAAAGTGTATTTGTACAAAATGAAATCTTCAGGGAACCAGATACAATAAGAATTCCAGAGAACAACATAGAGCACATAGAGGTGTCTAGAGACGAAGTGGAAATAATGCTCAAGGAGCTAAATAAGAAAAAGCAGTTGGTCCAGATGGAGTTTCACCATGGGTTCTGAGAGAATGCGCACCTGAGCTCAGCATTCCTCTTCAACTGATTTTTCAGGCATCCCTGTTTACAGGAGTTGTAGCTGATGTGTGGAAAAAGGCTAACATAGTTCCAATTTACAAAAGTGGAAGCAGGGAAAACCCCCTTAATTATAGACCGGTATCATTGACAAGTGTAATAGTCAAACTATTGGAAAAAATAATTAAATCTAAATGGGTAGAACACCTGGAGAGAAATGATATAATATCAGACAGACAGTATGGTTTTCGATCTGGAAGATCCTGTGTATCAAATTTACTCGGTTTCTATGATCGAGCAACAGAGATATTACAGGAAAGAGATGGTTGGGTTGACTGCATCTATCTGGACCTAAAAAAGGCTTTCGACAGAGTTCCACATAAGAGGTTGTTCTGGAAACTGGAAAATATTGGAGGAGTGACAGGTACGCTTCTAACATGGATGAAAAATTTTCTGACTGATAGAAAAATGAGGGCTGTGATCAGAGGCAATGTATCGGACTGGAGAAATGTCACAAGTGGAGTACCACAGGGTTCAGTTCTTGCACCAGTGATGTTTATTGTCTACATAAATGATCTACCAGTTGGTATACAGAATTATATGAACATGTTTGCTGATGATGCTAAGATAATAGGAAGGATAAGAAACTTAGATGATTGTCATGCCCTTCAAGAAGACCTGGACAAAATAAGTACATGAAGCGCCACTTGGCAAATGGAATTTAATGTTAATAAATGTCATGTTATGGAATGTGGAATAGGAGAACATAGACCCCACACAACCTATATATTTTGTGAGAAATCTTTAAAGAATTCTGATAAAGAAAGAGATCTAGGGGTGGTTCTAGATAGAAAACTATCACCTGAGAACCACATAAAGAATATTGTGCGAGGAGCCTATGCCACGCTTTCTAACTTCAGAATTGCTTTTAAATACATGGATGGCGATATACTAAAGAAATTGTTCACGACTTTTGTTAGGCCAAAGCTAGAATATGCAGCGGTTGTGTGGTGCCCATATCTTAAGAAGCACATCAACAAACTGAAAAAAGGTGCAAAGACATGCTACTAAGTGGCTCCCAGAACTGAAGGGCAAGAGCTACGAGGAGAGTTTAGAGGCATTAAATATGCCAAAACTGGAAGACAGAAGAAAAAGAGGTGATATGATCACTACATACAAAATAGTAACAGGAATTGATAAAATTGACAGGGAAGATTTCCTGAGACCTGGAACTTCAAGAACAAGAGGTCATATATATAAACTAGCTAAACACAGATGCTGAAGAAATATAAGAAAATTCACTTTCGCAAACAGAGCGGTAGACGGTTGGAACAAGTTAGGTGAGAACGTGGTGGGGCCAAGACCGTCAGTAGTTTCAAAGCGTTATATGACAAAGAGTGCTGGGAAGACGGGACACCACGAGCGTAGCTCTCATCCTGTAACTACACTTAGGTAATTACCAAGTATGGAGCGGCATCAGTTTATCTCCAGTAGTGGTTTAGTGACAAATGTATATACTTTGAATCTTCAATACTGTCAACATTGACCAGTAACAATGTATCATTCGATGAGTCTAGTTTCTGCTCCTACAAGATGCTACAACTACAGACAACCAGATTCTAGTCGTACTGGAGCTACCTGCTCTCATCCCACATTCGAGCTCTCTACCCCCGGCTTCAAACACACATTCTGCTCTGGGCCTTGTCTTGGCTATCATGACATGTCATTACATTTCCAATAACCAACTGATGTAACCATGAATATACCGTACTGTATTAAATATACATAAAATACCACTAAACTCTTCAAGTCATCTCACCTAAACTCGAACACATTATAAATGTATTGACTGTAAAAAGGTATTTGTGTTTACATAAAATTTTAGTACAGTATTTCTTCATTCTTGTGGCTCTCCTGACACCAAGTATGAGTAACTTTTACATTGCCTCTTTTTCAGGGAGACAAGAAGAGCGCATGTGAGATGTTGATGTCGTTAGATGAAAGTGACAAGTACCGCCAAGGCATCATCTCTGCCTTGGTTGCTCTTTATGTGTCACTAGGAGATCGTGGCAGTGCGTCGGCAGTCCTTAGGCAAGCAGTGGAGTGGCACAAGAAGAATAGGGTAAGCAGTTTAATGTCTTTTTGGAATAGGTTCTTTTTAAATGATGGGTAATGTTTGGATTCTGAACATGATATAGATTAACTATTGTTGGCTATTCTGATCAAATAAAGACCCTTAACTACACACAGCACTTCTTACCTGGTGATTGTCAGTTAGATACTGTTGCATTATTCTTAAGAGTAAACTGTTATTATTGTAGGTGTGAGGATTCTCGTTAGTTTTATGGTGAATGATTGTAATAGCATATTTATGGTGAAGGATTGTAATGTTATCATTTTGCAGAGGGATATTAGGCTGAAAGTACAGTACACTGTAGTGACAAAATGACTACTTCGTGGAATTGGAGTAATGTGAGTTTCTTTTGTATCTGTTGTGTAGTAATTATACAACACAAAAACATTATTGATAGCCATTTGCAGAAAGTACGTCATTTTCTTCATCCACTTGTGACTTTTCCATGTGAAATGATAATATTGACAATTTGGTCGAAACAAACAACATACATTGGCGCTAAGTTTAAAACCAGTCCCCCCAAAATTGCATAAAAACCTGAATTTTAGCAAATATATTACTTTCTGTGGAGAGCCTCTTTGTCTCCCCGGAGCTGTACCAGACTGATGTGTATATATATTAGACTGTGGCAACAGTCAGTCAAAGGAGTTCTAGACCTACAGGGGACCAGAGCCAGAACCTGGCCCCCTCAAGAGAGGCACGAGGAGCAGTGGCCTAAAGACACCCCCATGTAATTGGAAACAGTGTTTGTCTGCTATCTACCAGGTCAGGCACCCAGAAAGATAGGAATTCCAAAACAAACTACTGCTGGTCAAAATTTGCAAACCGAAAGCCAAACTAGCAAGAGAACTCCCCAATCAAAAACAAGTATGATGTCACCACAACTGCCCCGCATCTGTCGGCACGGCAAACGGACGTCCCAGACCTCCACGCCAGCAACTCTTCTCAGTTCAGAAGGCTGTTGTGAGGGTGACGGGTGATCAACTCTGGCTCCATTCTTTGAGCAGTACTGCAGGGCGGTGGCGGTGTTCAGTATTAGTGTTGTGCGAGGCAGGAGTAACATGAGTACTGGGGCTGCATGCACCTAGGGCTACCTTCTTTAGGTGCCCCCCTAAGTACTGCCCCTGCGGCCTCAGGGTCATCTTCCTGAGCCGTTCGGGAACTACCTCCGCGTGGTTCTGTTGCTGCTCGGTGATTGCCCGCCCTTGGGGCTCAGCTGGGGTGGTTCTTACTCCTGTTTGGCCTTGGGTAGAAAGTAGTTTCGTCGCTGGCTGGGGCAAGGAGTACTGTGCTGCTGTCTGATATACGCATAGCAACCGGTTCTATTCACCTAGAGATGTTGTGCTTTTGTGTGGTTTTTCTTTTGTTTTTTGTTTTGTTTTGCCTGGTGGGGGGTCTGCCTGGAGTGGTGGTAGGACCACTTGTATGATTTTGGTGGCCCTCTAGGTCCCTGTGCTTGCACACGTCGCAGGGTTCAGCTTTTAGTTTGTTTGCTTGGTAGCTCTGGGATAACCGGTTAGCAGTACCTCGTCTTGGCTTCCCCTAGCAGTCAGCCTAAGGGCCCTGGGAACCCCCATTGAGGCTCAGTGATCCAATGGAAAAGACCTTCGAGTCCCACCTCACTTTGTGCAAGTTTGAAGGTTGCTCTGTCACATTGTCTCAGGGTGACACTCACCATCTTTGCCTCCGCCATGCTGCTTGTTGGGTCAGTGACACCTTTGACCCGGAGTTCTGCGAGTGGTATTCCTTGCTTGTACTCCAATTCACCTAGTTCAATGAGATTGATATACGGGTGCAAGCAGCTTCGGCATTGTCGAAGCCGAATGCCAAATGTTTAGGTTGCTTGCCTTTCCGGATACCCCGCAGCTGCCCCGCTTTGGTTATAGGGACCCGCACTTGGGGGTGTTCGTTGCCTCGACTTTGGTTTCTTCTGCACCCCATAGTCTTTCCCCCTGTTGTGGTTTATCCTGTCCTCCCCCCCTCCCCCTGGTCCCGGCTCCCAAACGTCTGAGGGTTTCAGAGTCGGGGCAGGGGTTTGCCTGGTGGTGAGCCTTTGGCGGCTTCAGGGATTGCCCCTCCCGGATCGGCAGCGGAGGCATCGAGCCTGTTCCTCCTGCCGGAGCCTTTGGGCCTCTCCAGTGGGACCCCTTCATCCCGGTTTTTCCGGCAGACTCTACTTTTTCTCGAGAGGCAAAGGATTTGGAGGACTGCTCGGCCCCGGGTCCTGACGTAGAGGTTCCCGGGGCTGGGGAGGAGTTGACTTGGGGGGCTTGGGCCCCGTTTGACCCCGCTTGGGTGTTGGTACCCTCGGCACGGGGCTTGTTGTTACAGGGGGGTGGGTTTTCCTATCCCCCTCCCTTTCTTAGGGGGAGCCCCGTCGGCTCCCCGGAGCTATCCAGGCTGAATGGATATGTATAACTTTCTGGCATCAGTCAAAGTGCTAGGAGTTCTTGCCTACCGGGGACCACGAGCCAGAACCTGGCCCCCTCAGAGAGGCACGAGCAGCAATGGCCTATAGAAACCCCCTTGTGGTTGGAAGCATTCTATGTCTGCCATCGACCGGGCCGGGCACCCAGAAAGGTAGGCGCCCCAAAACAAACCCCTATTCTGGTAAAAATATTGCTACCGAAAGCCGAACGAGTGGACAGAACTCCCCAAACAAAATTATCTAACTAGCATGACGTCATCACGTCGTTGCGCCACCGTCTGCGCAATCCCCCCCCTCCGCGGGAGGGGAAAGGGGGAGCCCCAGACCCTTCACACTGGCGATCCAACTGGCAGTTCTTGGCTGATGGGATTACTGGCTGGTTGAGTGCCTCTGGCTCTGGTTTTTGTTTCAGTTCTGTGCCTTGTGGTGTGGGCTGTCTCTACCGGTGGGGTGTGAGCCAGGAGTAAGATTCCACGGTACTCGGCCTGCATGCGCCTAGGGCTATCTTCCCTAGGTGCCCTGTAAGTACTGCCCTTGGTGCTTGGGGCCACCTTCCACAAGTCACCTTGGGTTCTACCTCCGCTGTGCCCTTTACTGCTCGGTACTGGGCCGCCCTTGGAGTCAGCTGGGGGTTTGTTGCCCCTGTCTCTGGGTAGGTGCTAGTTTTCGTCACTGGTAGGGGCGCAGGGTACTGCACAGCTAGTTTTCACCATTGACAGTGGTCGGCTCTGTTCCGCCTGGGTACGTTGTCCTCTTGCGGGGTTTTTCTTTTGTTTTTGTTTTTGCCTGGTGGGGGATCTGCCTTTGTGGTCTCCCATTCCTGTTCTAGGTGATTTCTTTTGATTCCTTCTGTTGGTGGTACTCCCCACTTGGCCCCCGTGAGTGGACACGTCCCGGGAGTTCAGCTTTAGCAGTTTGTTGGTAGTATTGGGTGCCGGTTCGCGATACCCTGCCTGGGCTTCCCTTAGCATGTACCAACGGCTAAGGGCACTGGAAAACCCCACAGGGGCTCCGTGGTCCTATAGGTGTGTCCCCGGAGTCCCTCTCGCGTCCTGCGAGTTTGTTGGTTGAGCTGTCCCCTTGTCTCAGGGTGACACTCACAGGTTGTGCCTCCACCATGCTGCCTGTTGGGTCATTGTTTTTGTGACCCAGAGTCATACGGCGAGTGTTGTCAGTACGTGCTCCCTTTCACCCAGGCCACTGGTCATGTTAATCGGATGCAGGCGGCTGCGGCGTTGCTTGCTGGTTGTAGTTTGCTGCGACGCTCTTGGTTGTTTGCGGCCCCGGATGCCCCGAGGGTGCCCCGTTTTGGTAGTTGGGGTCAGGACTTGGGGATGGGGATCGCTTCAGCTCTGGCTCCTTCTGCTTCTTGTCCTTCCCCTTCTGTTCTACACACTTCCTCCCTTGCTTCCTGCTCCGAACCATAGGAGGAGGGTTTCGGGGTCTGGTTGGGTTGAGACTCGGGCGGTCTCGGGGGTTTCCTCTTCTGGGGTGGTGGCGGAGGCATTCGAGGCGGTTCCTCCAGCCGTGCCGTATGGGTCTGACCAGTGGGCTCCCTTCCTTAGTGTTTGCACGGCTGCCCCGGCTTTTCCTTGTTAACCCTTAAACTGCGCATGGCGTATATATATGCCCTGAGTAACATGTCCCATGGTGCGCGTGGCGTATATATATGCCATAGGGTGCCAGGCCTGATTCAAATGGCCCACGGACGGCTACACGGGGTTCACAGTAGCTTCCTCAGGGCTCTTGTAAACAGATGCCATTTAAAAAAAAAAAAATGTGCAATATTCTCAGGTGTGAGAGGCACAGTACTGTTGGAGCAACCAAGGCCGGCGCACGCAGCATGAGCGAACAGCATTGCTGTTCAGCTTGTGACCACAGCATCGCCAAAAAATGTCAAAATAAATATATAATTGTTATTATTTAGCGATGACAATATTACAGATGACCCATGACTGTGATATAAATAACCAGGGTTGTGATAATAGCAGGATTGTTGTAATAATTAGCGCTGTGGGAGGAGTGATGCTGAGAGACAGAGGGAGACAGCATCGTTTACTGACTGTGTGGCCACCTGTTATTGTTTGCATTCACCATACCAGGTCAGTGGTTCTCTATAGTGAACACAAATGTAGATACTTATATATAATGTGTGTATTAGTGTAATAACAGCAAAAGGATTATGCTGGGAGGAGCCATATGGGTGACGGAGGTGGTGTCGTCTGCACGATTTGTCTAGCTGTTTAGAGGGTGGCCACTATGCTCTTTGGGCGCACTACAAGCTTAGGTGTACAGTTAATGTGCATAAAACATGTAGATATTTATATATAATATGTGTATATAGGGTAATAACACTGCAAACAGTATTGATGGGGGAGAAAGTTTAGTGCGTGTGACCTTGAAAGAGTGAGGGAGCCGCCAGCCGCCATCTGTGTATAGCGACGATTCTTAGTGCCTGAACTAACTATATCAGCTTAGCTGTACAGTTGTGGTGAACAAAATATATACATACTTATATATAACGTCTGTATATAGTGTAATAACATCACAAATGGTATTA